CCCAGGTAAGGGCGGCGGCGGCCCTCGGGAGGAGCCTTCTCCAGCGCTCGCCGCCTCGGAGCGGAGACTCTAAGCGGAGACGAAAAAGCGCTGGGAAATTGCCCGACAAGGCTTAATACACTGTATAGCTTGAAACTTTCACGTATTGTTCATGTTTTATGTTGCTAAACTTGTTCTTCAGAACGTTTCCTCTTGCTTTGGATGTCGGCTCTGGAAAAGGTTACATAGCAAAGCATTTAACCAAGGTACCATCTCTCCATACCTCAAAAGCCTTAAAACAGATGCATGTTTATTTCTCGGGTTTATTATTTGATTATTTTATTGATTATAACTTAAAACAATCCCCTGAATTTTGATGAGACAACTCCTGTTTCCCATCATGTCATATCTGTCGCTCCAACCCAGAGAAGTGTGTTGTGTAGGGTGTTAGCCTGTATTGTCCCCGAGACTAGACAGATAGTAATGTAAGAGAAGCTATCTGTTATGTGACAGTGAACTTCTACCTTTGAGTAGGGGAGGATGCTTCTTTTCCCATCAGTCTTTAATAGAAGCACTTAGTTGTTAAAGAGAGGCATCATGGAGGTTTTTAAGAAGTGAAGAGTTTACCCTTCGTGAGCCACACTGTGAGTAAAGTCATTGCCTTGGCTGTTAGTCTGTGATTTATGTTTGACTGAAGCTATACCTAAAAACAAGGAACACATTTCTTGTACTACTTCTATCTCAGCTGCTCTTCCTGGGAGCAGTTAATAAGTACTATGTTGGGGGGAAAAGAGCTTTATATGATGTTTTTATCAGGTGTGCAAGAGATTCCTTCTAACTTATTATAATTATGTGTAATCATTAAAAAAAATTACTACTCTCATCCTACAAAACAACTGAAACACTTAATACGCTTCTAAAATTTTATTTCAGGAAACAATTGAAAAACTTATTCAAGTTGATATTGCAGAGAATGCTTTAGTAAGTAGTTTTTTGAATGCTAATGCTCCTCAGTTACATACAACTGGAAAAAAAAAAGTTAGTTTCTAATTTATGTTTTCTAACCCAACATTAGAAAAATGCTGTAGAATGTGAAATCCCTACGGTCAGTGTTGTGGCTGATGAGGAATTCCTTCCTTTCAAAGAAGATACATTTGATATTGTTCTTAGCAGCTTAAGGTATGTGTTAATCATTTATGTACATTAGGTTTTTTTGGTTCAAGATGTTGTATGATGTTCTTTTCAGGGTAACTTTAACAAAAAGAGAAAGATTACTGGTCTATTAAACAGCAGTAAGAAATATACTTTCATAGCTAGTGAATATATATTAGGGAAAACTGCTGTCTTGCAGCTTCTTGTTTGTTTGTTTTCCTTCAAAATTCGTGTAGCTTCTCTCTCCTCTCTCTCCTGCATTTTGACAAACTAATCTCCAGGACTAGCATCTTGTCAACTTGAAAAAAAATAGAGCTGTTTGTATGAACTTCTGGTGTTACTTAATATCAGTTTTAGGCAGGCATTTCAGAACTTGTGCAGCTTGAGAAGCTAGTTCGTTGCCTTGGGTTTTGAAACATACTTAGTGTAACAGTTATTCACTTTCC